TTTTGGACCTCCCCAAATATTTGCGAGTACAGAATAAGAACATGCGATTCAATCATGGGCCTCAACTCGATACTAGCAGGAACAAGCATGTTCCGCTAGCCTGGGGACGTCTCAAATTCACGTTGCCGAGAATGTAAGGTTGCCACTAATGACATACAGTGCTGCAGGAGTGCAAACCTCTTGAGACGGCGGGGTACAAGCCAAGACTCTGGCCTGGCTCCCAAGAAAACGTGCAGTGTGTGATGGTCATGCAGGAATACAGTGGTAGCAGGTCTTCTTTCGTGAGCTCCAGAGCCATAGGTGCTTTCATGGATGGGAGTTTGCTGGCACATGGCAGGTCCTTTTGGCAGTGGATGGTAAGGCTGATGAATGGAACGTAGTGGGCTTGCAAGTTGGCTGACGCTAGATGGACACAAGGGTTGGAGTGCTGGTTGCATATGCAGGGTCATAACGTGAATGCGGAGTGTAAGATAATGACTGGCAATGCCTCGTTATGACTGTGCAAAGCCATTGCTTCATAGGTCTGTGCGATTGCAGGGCCAGCCATGATGATGCACTGCCCTTGTGGAAATTCAGCTAGAGCTGAAGGTTGAGTATGACGGCAATGACCACAATAAGGGATAAGGCAAACATCACTGAACGCTAGCAGGAGTGTTACTTGTGAAGGTAGTGTTGAAGATGACAATCATGCTGATGATGCTGCTGATGCTGCTGAAGCAGCAGCAGCGGCAGCTTGTGCTAACTGATGATGATGTTGATCATGCAGGATTGTGATGATGATGATGCAGGAGGAGCAGGAGGAGGATGTCCTTGTCCCACGGAGCAAATCTTCCTTTTCTGCAATACATTTTATTTGTTCGAAGGCTAGCCGAGGTCACTCCGTGTTTGTAATCAACTGAGGCCCTCCGTCTTCGGCTCCTGCTAGCGCGAAGGCGGGCTTGTCATTGGCGAGGGGCTTTGTGCTATTCGCATTGCTGGACTTGGGGTCCAGCAGCTTGCGTGAACGTCGAATCGCGCTTGCAGGATCTTCACATGCGCCCGGATGGCTCAGCCTCCTCCCTCCCCGAAGCGCAGAACTCGGTGCAAACCGCAGTGCCCAACCGTCGGTCTTGGTCGCTGTCAAAGGCACCTCGGCGGCCTGCCCAGACTGTCAGAATCTTAGACGTTCAGCAGGGATACTTTTTTGGGAAGCCTTCATGGCATGACAAGGGACCTCACGGGATAGTCAAAGGGTCTACTCACGTAGGCTTGCTCAATATCCCTGTTAAATTGGGCAGCTTGCGCAGCTGAAGCATGCTCTGAAGGCACGGCCAGTGGTGACGACTTTCACTACAGCGCGGCGGGGGACAGTCCCCACCGTCCCACGAGCTCGGGTGCAGCGGATGGGGGCGCAGGCCGGGAACAGGAAAAGGCAACCGGGCGTTGCACCCGTAGGGGTTAATGGGTGTGTCTTGGTTTAGGGGACCCCCCCAAAATGTGTAGTTTCCTTCTGGTTTCCCTTTACAACCAAAGCGGACCCACAAAGAAGACACCCCAAATCGAAGCTCGAAGCTGTGTGCCCGACTCAAGTCGCTCAGGGCTCGCCAACCGTGCGCGGTCGCGTGGAGGGTGCCAAGCCTGGGCCCAAGTTGGCCGGAAGTCGCTGGTGCACTGAAAGAGAACTCGGGGTGCAGCAGTTCTTATGGCACTTTTGACGTCGCGAATCTGTTGCACTGAGCCCCGTGGAACTTGGCGATCTTGGCGCTTGTTTCTTTGCAAACAAACTTTCGGAAGGCAGTCACAAGGCTCACGTCTAACGTCTTCAGTCCTCTTTTTTTAACTAAAGAGAGCAGTGGGGAGCTGGGGATGCCTCCAGTTGAAGCCGCGGGTCAAGGATGGTCAATTCTGTCCAGAAGTTGGAGAGGGTTTGGTTTTTGGTGCCTTTTTGTGGCTTCTGCGGCTTTTCTATTTTTGCGGCTTTTGTGGCTTTCGACCAAATCCCAGGGATGCAATACGCCTTTCAGGCAGTAGTGCCAGCATTATCAACACCAACAGACTCTGTCAGGCAGCTTCTTTTTGTGTGCGTGTTGGTTAAGGGTGTGCCGGTGTTTGTAACGCCCCATGTAGATCGGTTGTTCTTCTGGGGGCGTCCCCTCCCTCGGCCTCCCCGCTTGGTTTGTGGTGCTCCGACTGCTTTGGGGTGTAAACCGCCGCCCTTATTGGTGGCCTTGGATCCGGCAGTGTGCCCAGGACGTCTGTCTCGGTCTCGCGAGAACGTGGTTCTTCGCCTAGCAAGGAGCTGAGCTTCGGCATTTGCAAGTATGTTGAGCAACTTGTGAAGTGCAGAAGCATTGCGGGGAAACACAAGCATGTGAGAACCAGTGGATGGATTCGCATTGGTCATCAGGCGGATCACCTGGCACACCGCGAACCTCCGCTGAGCCACAGAACGGAACAACAGCAGGCAAGGCAGCGTTAAAAGCGGAAGGACATTTCCGCGACGGACATTTGGTTCGTCACGACGTGTGTGCATAGCTTGAGAATCTGAATATGGTGGGTCGCTCTCTACCGAACATGTATTTCATGCACGCAGCAACCAGCATCGAACAGCTGTTTGGCCAGCTGAAGCGCGTCGAACACCCTCTCCAGGCCGTGTTTGTGCACCCTCTCCGGGAGCTCTGCGTGGAGTGACTCCACTGCAAAGTGCAGCGTGTTGCTGACGTATCAAAATGATAGGAACCACTGTTCTCTCAGAATTGTCGCGTTCACCATGGCCCAGTTGTTTGTTGAAGGTTTGGCAGGTTGTGGAACAATAGAATGTTTTCGGTTGATATTCAGGGTGCCTGGGGCAGAAATCAGTGGCTGTGTCACAGGAGGGCGCCACCTGAGCTGAAAGCATCGCATGGCCACTGCCCCTCCCCCACCCTGGCGGATGGGGTTGTTTGGGTTTGCTCCATTGCAGGGGAGCCGGGGGGGGGGGCTGCGCCGTAAAACTTGCCTCTAGAAGTCAAGAACAACAACACTTATTTGGCATTAAGCAACAACTTATTGGGCAATATATAGCTGCAACACACCATGAAATGCCTGGAAGCTGAGTAGGGTCGGTTTAACTGCTGAGGGCATGCTGGTACCCATGCCGCGAGCGATCCGCGCGAGCGGCAATACACAGTAGCCCTGTAGCGATGCGCCGTGCCACCGTACTGCCCCTATATGAAGGTAATACCCTAAGGCCTATGTGCCGCAACTGTTGGAAATAGGTTGCTTTTGATAGAATGAGGTTTGTAATGCCTCACCCTCTGTCACCAGGTTTTATAGGCACCTGCAGGTACTCAAAAAAACTCGCAGGTTCGTAGGGGCTTGACCTCGGTGCATGGTGTAGGTGATCAGCAGTCTTCAAGGGGTCTAGCTGCACGCTGTGCCAGCACCACTTGCAAACTTCCAAGTCTCAAGTCTTTCACGTAGGACAGGTCAGTCATGCTAGACAGGTCCATGACTTGGTGCCAAGCAACCTGATGCTGCAATTGATCTCACGTCGAGTCTTTGTGGAGCCAAACAATGTTCCTCGAGCACAGGTCTGACTCACCGGCCGGTAGGACCCTGCCATGACCTGTGCGTGCGAAACAACACACGCTTCAAGGTCAAGAAGCATTGACCAGCACCCTTTGGGCATACCCCGCCCCTTCCCTGGCGCTCAATCAATTCACAAAGAGCGTCTTTAGTCTCCAACGGTTGCAGGTCTGCTACCCTTACGGGAATCTTAGGCAGTTGGGATTCAGAGAGTGTCTACGACGATGAAGAGGCCTTCGCTGGGAGGCGAGAGTGGGCTCGAGAATGCAAACATGCCAACACGTGACTTGATTGCATGCAGGCACAGCTCCCGGGGCTTACATGCTGCAGCCGAGAAGAGCCCTATGAGGCATCGCCCAAACGCTTCGACGGACGGCGGATGATCGGACGAGTTCGTTGTGAAATCTATTTCACACAATTCTGAACAGGATATCAGAGGCCTTGGGTCTGAAGACCAAAATTACCCTCAGATACATTTACCACCGAAGGCAGACATCAGGCAAGTACGGCACACCCAACCGCATGAGAAGAAGGCAGTAGCTCTTTGTCAGCCTTCAGGCTGCATTTCGGTTGACAAGGATTTCAACCCTGCTGAAAGTCGGCAACTGGTTTCGGATATCCAGCACAGTCTCTGCCGGTAATGGTGCTAAGAACAAGCGCAGAATTCATTTTGTCAGCTTGAGCTCGTGTGAGGCTCTTTGTGGCTGCCGTGCATTTTGATTCTAGTGCATTTGATGGCCCTGGGGCATATCCCAACTATATAAGGAGGACCTGTGACGATGGGCAGTTAGCTCATTCGGGCCAGGTGCTTGGCTGCAACGACTGCGAGCACGATCGCAAGAGAACCGTGAGATCTTAGCTCTTCTCTCTGTTGGCCGGCTGCGACGTTCTCCTCAAGCCATCGGTCTGAAACCCCCTGATTATTGTGCTTGAGTGGATTCCATCGATCCGTTAAGAGGGGTTGTTTTGCATCTGTAGTTCAATGCTGTAATTCAGGGAACCATGCTGCTGCTGACCCATACAAAACATGCCCATATCACACATGGGATCACTCTGAAGTGTTGAACAGTGACGTTTGACAGCTACTTGCATTGCCTGGGCACTTGAGTCGAGCCAATGATGCAGGCTCTGGTGCTGAGTTCATAGGGAAAAAAAGGAGCCTGGGGGTAGCACTCTTTGCTTGCGGTTCAAGTGGAGCAAGACGTAGCCATTCTAAGCCATGTGTTGATGTTTTGTTTGCTTTAGTTTGGTGTAGTGATTTGACCTTCGTCAGCTGCTGACATGCAGTCGACAAGTTGGTTGTGCTCGCTGACCGCCGTTCATAGCCCTGCTCAATGAGCAGTTCAACTCTGATACCGAACCAGGCAGAGAACTCGAGTGGTAGCTGGCTGCTTCATGCCCTGGCGCAGGTCAATGTTTGGATGATGACATGTGCCCGGCCTCAGCTATTGCTCTGACGCTTTGCAGGAGAGTGATTTGCCTATGTACGCAGTTCCGATCCAACTTGTTTGACTGAAATAATGTTTTTGAACCTGCGGAACAAAACATTTGCCGAGCAGAATCGACTTGACTTGGATCCGGACAGCAACAAAATGATTCTCGCGTTGCCCAGAAACATGTTTAGTTCTCTTGGAGGCTCATTCGAGTGCTGCACATCTTAATCTGTTTGTTGAGCCTGACGAGTGCGGAGGCTGGGTAGTCACAGATTTCTGCACAAAGAAGTGGTTATCCAATTTGGTGGCCAGGTTGGTGAAGATGTTTGCGAGGGCGATGTCTTGACCTCAACTTTGCGCGCGATTCCCTTGCCACCACCAAGCCCAAGGATGCACCCCTGTTGCAGATGCAGAGGCGAGGAGGTTTATGGGCTGCGGGTTGCGAGTTCCCCGCCTGCGTGCGACTTTTCTGCCAACTCAAAAACAAAAACCCGGGCCGGGGGGCAAGACGGCCGGCCCTCCTCCAAAAAGAGTGGCCCCCCGCGTAGCTTTGACGACTGAGACAAGATCGGCATTCTTCAACACGCACGCCAATTGTAATCACCAGGTAGCGTCTGCGTTGAATCTAAGGCAAGAACGTCACGGGACACATTAAGCTTCTGCCGTGACTTTGCTGGACTCGTTCCGGTTTTTGGCCGCTCGGCCAGGCCCAGCTCGCTGGCTATGAGCCTGCTGAGGCCTCGAGTGTCGATGGAAAGCTGATTAACTTGAAAGCTTCATCTTGCGAGGCAGCCGCATGTGAAGGCGCAAAGGAATTCGCCCATCAGCAAGGCGGGAGCGAGGCTGATACATTCACTCCGCATATGTGGCGAATTGCTGGAAAGATTCCAAGCGACAAAAGGGGCAGTGTGCATGATGCAGTGAAGTATGTCGCATGGCATTCGTTGGCATTCGTTGCCAAAGCAACGCGAGGCTGAACCAGTCGAAATCGCAGACTCGGACGCGGGCTGGGGTACATGGCTTACAGAGACAGCCAGACATGCAATATGCACTTGAATTCTAAGTGGGGGTGCCACGTCTTCTTTTGAGGGTGCCCTAGTTGGGGGTGCCTTCAAATGGAAGCCAGAGGAAACCCACACACACACCTCCTGATCTTAACCTAGTGATGTTTTGCGTGAATAGGCACGCACGCGCACGCGCGCGCACGTGTAAAAATGGCAATCCAAGGTAGAGCAGTTCTCGGTTTCGATCACATAGAAACTAGCACAGGCGAAGCCTCAGGGCTGCTTGGCGCGCTTGCGCATGTACAGCGCAAGTAGAACAGGGCCAGCAAGAATGACAAGCGGAGATGGTGAAGGAAGGCGGAACGGTTGGCTGTCCCTTTGGGAGGCTTGTCAAAGGACTCGACACACTCATCCCATCAGGTAAAGAGGCAGGCAACATCCGTGCAGAGTTAGCGTAGCTTACTAAGGACAAGACATGTTGTCACCATTGGAAGGCATTTTGTTCGAAAGCTCAGACATGCAACGGGCTCCCATGGCAAGTGTTCGCGACGCACACTGGAGAGCCTCTGCAAGCATGATGCGCTGACGTGTGCTCATTCAGGCTGTGAGTGCTCTCCACTCGCCCACACTTGCGTTCCACTTATAATTGTAAACGCTTCGCGTTGCCCGCCTCGGCCCAGCCTAGTTTGAGGGAAGGGTCAGGAACACCGAAATCCAGTGTTGGGAAGGTCCGAATACCTGAAGCTGGCTCCAGACAAGTCAGACAAGCCGGCCTCGCCTGGTTGGGCTGGGCCACAGGCTAGTCTCAGACACATCAGATAAGCCTGCGCTGGGCCTGAAGCTAGTCTCGGGCAGCTTGGCTGGACCTTGCTTGCGTGGGTTGTTGGTTGAGCTGAAGCTAGTTTACGGCGGGCTGGGCAGCCGCACTGAGGGGGCTGGGCTATGGCTGGGCTGGGCCTGAGGCCAGTTTCAGACACGTCAGACAGGCCTGGCCAGCAGGCGGACTGGGCTGGGCTAGACGCTAGTTGAGCCCAGGCTGGTGAGGCCCAGTCTCGGCGCTAGATAGGCTGAGGCCTGCGAGTCTCAAACCGGGTGGCTTAGGCGGGTTGCTGGTTGGGCTGGGCCTGAAGCTAGTCTCAGCCACGAGGCTGCGAAGCCATGGGTGGTGCTGGGCAGCTGGATTATGGTGTTGGTTGCGCCTGGAACTTCGGCTGGCTGGGCTGAGCTGTGCTTGGGCGGGTCGCTGGATGGGCTGAGGCTGGGTAGCGAGTTGCTGGCTAGGCTGGGCCAGACAGGCAGACGGGCTGAGGGACTGGGCCTGAGGCTAGTCTCAGGCTGGCATACCTTGAGACCAGTCTCAGACTGCGCCGAAGGGGCCTGGTCAGCCTGGGCTGCTGAGTAGCTGGCATAGCTTGAGACCAGTCTCAGACACGTGAGACTGGTCGTTGGCCTGAGGCCAGTCTCAGACACGTTAGACAAACCTGACCTTGGCACACTGGGCTGAGCCTGCTGGTGGGCTGGGAGCTGGGGGCCGGTAGTGGCTGGCATGCCCTGAGATGCGCTGGGGCCTGGGCTGGGCAGGCTTTGGGCTGGGCCTGAAGCTAGTCTCAGCCACGAGGCTGCGAAGCCATGGGTGGGTTGCTGGCTGCCGGGCAGCCGGACCAGGCTGCTGGTTGTGCCTGGAACTTGGGCTGGGCGGGCTGGGCTGAGCTGTGCTTGGGCGGGTTGCTGGATGGGCAAGGCCTGTTTCATACACACTTGGGCCTGAGGCTGGGTGGCGAGTTGGCTGGGCTGGGCCTGAGGCCAGTCTTGGGGCCGGCCTAGGGCTGGGCTGGGCGCTGGGCTGGGCTTGCTGGATGACTTGGGGTGGGCCTGTTTCAGACAAGCTTGGGCCTGAGGCTGGGTGGGGCTGACAGGCCTGGCCAGCAGGCGGGTTGCTGGTTGGGCTGGGCCTGAGCCTAGTCTCAGACACGTCAGGCAGGCCTGGCCACCAGGAGGTCATGCTTTTCAGGACAAAAGCAATTTTTTAGTGATTTTCGTCAGCACATTTTCGGACAAAAATGGACCCATGGAGCTGGACGCCGACGAACCCCGAAAATTTCAAGGCCCGCCGGACAGGATTTTGGGTCCAGCCGACATGGGTGGGGGGGGGGGGGGGGTGGCCCGGCAAAATTTTTGGGTTGGGGGAGGGGAAAAGCGAAGATTCTCTTTGGAGAAGAGATCTGAGCGCCCTTGGCCCCTTTGGGGCCGAGGCGAATTATAAGCAAAACGTTGAGCCAGGCAGTTGACTACCAGTGCTCTAAACAGTGCTTGGAGCGCGCGATATTTTTGGCGCCGCATCCAAGTTGGTTCCGGCCGTTTCCGCTTAAATCGAGTTCCAAGAGTCCAAACGCACAACAGCACCCATGATTGCGAGTGCACAGCGCGCTGACCCTTGCTTGTACGGGTTTAGATGTTGCATCGCTTGGGCTGGGGATTGCTATGTCGGGCAAAATATGCCGAGATCCGAGGTGTGGATGGCATATTACCATCCAACAGGGAGGAGGTGCTGAAGAAACTGCTGCTTGGCTGTTGGCTGGAATTGGCAGTTCGTTTGGACTTGGGGCTTTACTGGCTGGATCTGGCAGTAAGGAAGCCATCAGAGAGGAGACGACGCAGGAAGTTGTTGGCTCGCAAGGACCCCGGAAGGTGTCCATGAACTTGGCTGGCCTGTGGAATATTCGGGCTTGCAGATATCCTTGCTTGTTTTGAAGCAAAGTCAGTCTTCAACGGGCAAGGGCTCGATGGCAAAAGAAGTGAATGCTGCAGGTGAGGCTGTGACAGCCGCAGCTCTCATCATGCTGCTGATCAGTTGTTCGGTCGGCAGTGGCCCCATCGAAAATGGGCATTTGAATGACAAACTCCCTTCAGAACGCCCCACTTGCCCCAAATGGACAAATTGCAGTTTGTTGGGGGGTGCACCCTGTGCAATTGTTTTAAACGCCCATTTATCATTTAGCCACACTGAATTTGGGGTATGTCCATTTGAGGTATGTGAGGACCTTAGAACCCACCAAAGTAAGTGGGTTCCCGATTCAAAGTTATGCCTGACGTGGGAGCGCTTGCCTGCATGACTGTAGCGTGGCATCAGGTATTCAGCTGGTGATGGTGGAGTATGTCATGACGGGTACATGCGTCATGCACCTGGTGTTCCATGAAATCGTGATCAAGCTTCGGACCATGAGGCATTATGTGTCACATGCATGGAGCAAGACATGCCATTTCTGCTTGGCTTCTGCAAAGGCTCGCGTTTGCGTGTTGCCACAACTTTCTGCTGCAAGAAAGCAACCTGACGGTTTGCCAATTTGGCTGTGGGCCAAAACCCAGGAAACCCCGGGTGAACATCCAAAATAGGTGGCAAATGGATGGACATCCACCCCAAAATTGGGATCGCCATAGGTTATCACGAAAGCTAGCTTTAGCTAGCTGAAGTTTCTCCTTGCGTAAGCAAGGTAAGGGGCTCAAATGCCGAAAGATTGATTTTTTCAATTATTTGAGCCGAAAAGATTGAAAAACATCAATTATTTAGACCCCCCCCCCCTCCCCCCCCCCCGGGTCTCAGGCTCGATTCCTCCCTGGTCCATCCCCCCCCCCCGGGCAGTGGCTCAGTGTTCAGCAGTCTCGGTTTGCCCGTTTTGGACTTGGTGCTACGAACTTTTACATGTTCCACCGATTCAGCTTGTTCATTTGAGACCTCAGTCTTCTCGGTAAACCACCTCGCAAGAATCTTTGCACACGCTGCATGCAGAACCCAGAGGTGCTTTAAGACAGCTTCTGACGCCTCTCGTTGCTTTCATTTTTCAAGGTTTGCCACGCCACCATGTGCGTTTGCGTGTCGCATCCTACGAATCTTGCCGGGCCTCTCGTTGTACACAAGCTACCTATGAATCCACTCTGTCACCGACCCATCTCATGCAACAACTGCTAGCTTTCGTTCACCCGCTCCTCAAGTGCAACTCATGGCCATTTGTAGAACCCAGACCTTTGTGAGTTTGAGGCTGCGGCATTCCAGTCGATCGGATCCCGTCATGACAGCAGCCGAGGCCCTGCCAAGTGCGTGTGCAGGCGGGCTTTGTTTGTGGCACCGTCATCCGAAGCACTGTTCCAGCCGGCCGTATGATCTATCCATCATGAATCATTAATTCTGGAATGTGCCAAGCAAGGAGAAAGAGAGAGAGAGAGAGAGCGAGTGTGTATTTGGCAGGTGCTCTTGTAACTGTGCTGACGCTGCTCATGTGTGGTGTCAGAAGAGTTCTGCGGCTGCCGAGTCGGTTACCCGCTTGGCCAATTTCACAAGCGATCCAAGTTCAGCCGTATTTGTTTGAGTGAATAGTGCTTCGCCTGCCTTACATCTTTGGAAGGCCCTCTACGGATGGGAAGCTTTCCCCCGGGACTGGCCAGACTTAGGCTGCTGTGTGGTTCCTGCAAACGACTGATGGCCTGCCGTGACCTTGGGGCATGAACGTGTGGGGCGAAGGGCTACGATTTTTTGACGGTGGTGCAAGCGTCACTTTGCTTGGGGCTGGTTGGAAACTAATTCGGTTAGAAATTCTGGTGAACAGAAAGCCAGTGCTTGATGCCTGCTTCATAAAATTACGAGCCAGGCCTTGCCCTCCTCCCCTCCCCTCCCTCCCTCCCTCCCTCCCTCCCTCCCTCCCTCCCTCCCTCCTTCCCTCGTCTCGCTCCCTCGTCTCGCTCTCTCGTTCTCTCCTTCTTCCTTCTTTATTTCTTTCTTCAAGCACCGAGGCTGCCATTTAGGCCAGCGCCTAGGGTATGACAGCAGGGCGATGTGCCAACGTGCCTGGTGGTGGTGGTGGTGGTGGTGGCTGCAGCCCAGGTGGCAGCCCAGTGCAGCCAACGGCACTTCTGACCTGCGTCAACTTTGCTTCCGCAAGTAGGTTACCATCACTGTGAATTGTGGTGGTGACGATAGCCAAGCGCAGCCGTGCGTTTCGTTTTTTGCTGGAGTACTCGCTCGGGTGCCAGATGCCGTGTCCTGTCTTGGCTTGGGCGCAATGCACAAAGAGGGTCATCAGCCATCCAGCGCGCAATACATGGTCCTTCTGCCAGCGTCATTCAAATAATATGTCGGTTTTCAGTGGGGTGGCCTCGCAAATATGGGCCGATGTGCGGGCTCTGCGCTGCGCAGAGTAGTCTCAGCTTATATTGGCAGCTTCAGAGCTGGCCCGATTTCATGTTTGGATTCCAGCTTTCTACTGATTTCCTGGAGCTGGGTGGTGCGCTGGCGTTAGTTGCCGCGCATCGCTCCTTGCTACAATGTTACAACCTGGCCACTAGCTGAGAAAAGGCATCCCTCTGACTGGCACCTTTGAGTAGATTTTGGCGCGTCCAAGGGAGCCTGTAGCCGAGTTTTCCTCGAGAGTGTGGCGACGTTCTGGATTGTTCGCTCCTGCCCCGTAGAAGCACAGCAACGTCGGCAGGGTAAGTCAGCTGGTTTTGTCCTTTCGGGCGGACGACGCCAACCGAAAGCCAATAAGTCTTTCATTCTTTCCTTCTTTCCTTGCCGCTACTCCTTTCCTTCCCTTCCCTTCCCTTTCTTTCGCTTCCCTTCCTTGCCTTCCCTTCCTGCATTCTTGCTTGCTTTCCTTCTTGCTTGCTTTATTTCTTCCCTTGATTGTTTCTTTCTTTTTTTCTGTCTTTCGTTTGTTCGTTCGTTCGTTCTTTTTGTTCTTTTTGTTCCTTTTGTTCTTTCTTTATTTCTTCCTTTTTTCTTTCTTTCTTTCTTTCTTTCTTTCTTTCTTTCCTTTTTCTTTCTCTTTCTCTTTCTCGCTTTCTCTCTTTCTCTCTTTCTTTCTTCCTTTCTTCCTTTGGTTCTTTTCTTTTTCCCCCCCCTTCCCTCCCTCCCTCCCTTCCTCCCTTCCTCCTTCCTCCCTTCCCTCTCTCTTCCCACTCCCGCTCATGCTCACACTCATTGCCTGATGGCATCCCATTGTCTTGGGCACTTGTTTGCTGGCGTGACGCAGATACAGTTCAACTTTGCGGCTGCCGCAAAAAAGCACACGCGTCATCTGGTGGTGATGTCAAGGGGCATGTTGACAGCTGACGTGCCACAGTAGGCTGCACGCTTTCTGAATGGAGTTGACGGCGCAAAGATACCGCAATCTCTTGCAACCGTTCCCCGCAAGGCACCGAGACTGACATGTTCCGGCAGAATCCGAACAAACGTTCGTTGGAACAACATGTCGAACAGATACTGCTTCATTTTTTGAACGGGTGGATCATTGATGGCCAAAGGTTGAACATCTTGGTTGGCTCGCTCTTGCTCTCACTCTCACTCTTGCTGTCGTTTGCTTGCGCTCTGTTGTTTTGTCTATTTCTATCTCTCTACCTCTCTATCTCTATGTCTATCTCTATCTCTATCTCTATGTCTATGTCTATCTCTATATCTATCTCTATTTCTCTGTCTCTCTCTCTCTCTCCATCTCTCTCCCCAGCCTGGCTGCCTCCCTGCCCACTCTCCTTTGAGGCTGTGCCCGGCGGCGCTCAGAGGTGGGGCAGCTTTGGGACGACACGCGCAGAGCGCTGGGGCATGGGGTGACGGTGGATTTTCAGTGACTCGTATGGCTGTGGGTCAAAACCAATGGTACCATTTTGGGGTAGGTGCACCACCAATTTCAGAACCTATTTTAGTGGGGATTGGGATGTTCACCAAAAATACGGGCTTTTGACCCATGGCTGTATCACAGTTATGTGACGTGGGTATATGTCGTCTCGCAGTCACCCCTTGTCACCTACCTCTTGTCACCTGCTTCTCCTAGCCGGGTATTTGGACTGGCTTGCTTGAGAAATCCAGCACTTGGCAGAGTGGTGTCAATGGAGTAGCTGGTTGACCATGACATCCAGGCTCCATCGATACATGCGAGCTTGCCTGATGCGGCAATGCTGGAGGCTGACGGCTGAAAGGATCGGTCACCAACCGTGAGGGTGCTGACAGTTGAAGTAAATGAGCTTGGGCATGCTGAAGCCTGAAGCGAACTCGAAGCATGGACATAAGAGCACCGCAGCTGACTGGAGGTGGTGGAATTCCTTGCGTTCGACAGCTTGTGTACCTTTGGCCTTGGCCTTGGATATGCCGGAAAAACTTGTGTCTTTCAAGCGAGCCCAGGCAGCGCATCTAGGACTGAAGATGTGGCAATGGCGTTGCTCGAAGTCAACGGGCACCTGGAAGTCTTGTGATATCTGGCAGGAAGAGTCAAGACTTCGTCAACAGCAGCCACTGCATCAACATCTTGATCAACGAGGCACGCTACGCCTGACATCGGCCCATGACAATGAGACCAGAATTTGACCCCTGGGGCGCAACAGACAAGGTAGCACATGGCTGGTTTTCACAGCTTTCTGCCCATCTGCAGGTTCAGCGGCATAGTCCAGGCCTAAGAATAGATGGCAGTGGGTCAAAAATATGTACCCAAACTCAAACCCTGGTAAATGGAAACTTGGACTACGACCTGCGGTCCCCTGGTGGTTTAATTTTGACCGACACCCAAATGGATATGGATACGATGGATTTCCCTCATGTAGCTACACTGAGCGGACTGCCGGCTAAGGCCTGCAGGAACCCTGGCAGGAGCATTTGGAGCAGCTGAAGGAGGAAAGTCAGAGGGTTTTACCGCCTTGACTTGGCCGTGGGTCAAAATTGAACCAACAGGGGACCGCAGATTTTGGTCCATGTTTCCACTTACCAGGGTTCCATTTTGGGTACCTATTTTTGACCCACAGCCACTTGAGCGTGAGAGAAGCCCTTCTTTTTGTCATTGCACCTACCACCTACCAGTCACAGATGCAGAGTTCACCGCTGTCTCATTCTGTGCGGATGGAGTCGCAGGTCAAGGAGGTCGGCCTTGCTGGTGCCGAGGGCCCTGCGAGTTCTGTGCAGGGCTGAGGCACCAGCGGATGGCAAAGCCCTCCGAAGGGCGCGGCTTGCGCCGCCGCCGCTCGCCTCTCCGAGGCTTCGCCAAGCACCAAGCACAGTGCAGAGGTTGGGGCACGTGCTCGCATCAGAATGGACCGGCAAAGTGCGCTAACATGCAAGTGACTCAGCGAGCTGCCATCTCCAATTTGGCATTCACCAGGTCAAGTCTGTCGTCCAAGAGCTTCGGCATTTCATTTGCAAGCAGCTCTTGAGGACAGGGTTGCACATTTCAGGAAAAGATGCAGATGGCAGTGTACGGGTGCAAGAAATCTAGTGCACTCCTCTTCAGCAAGCACTCAGTCTTTATTTTGGTGCCTCAAGGAACGCTGCGAGCGCCAGTGCGAAGGAAAGTGCAGAGCAATTGAATGCTGGGGCCTGAGACTCCTGAACTGCGAACACGGAGGTTTCAATGAACCGCGCAAAAATTGACGCATCGGCGCAGCACTTTGAAGATTTCTTGCAGTTTGCTGGTATCCATCAGCGTGCCAAGGCCATTTCTGACTTTGTTCGTTTCTGCATGCTGATGGCAGGGGCCTTGAGCGCCAGTTTTTGAGCATTGGCATCCCACACATCAAGACTTATGCACCGGGCCAGATTCTGTTTCTCCATACTTTCCCCTTGGTTGCGTGACCCTTCCTTAGAGGTTGGCTGGTTCTGGTTTTCGGCAGAGGCGGGGCTTTCGCGAGATGTCTGATCTTAGTCACATTTTTTTCGCAGCTCTCGTGCTGCTTGTTTGTAACAAGCAAGGAACATGGGACTCCCACGGCATTGCAAGCCACAGGTTTGCTTGGGACAGGTGATGGACATGGCCTGCCTTGACACCACCGCCGGGCAACCAAGACGCAGCTGAAGGGGCCTTGGACCTGGGGCACTTGGCAGACGGGACTTGGGGCGAGGGCTGGTCACGAACAAAATGAGGGGGGTTTGTGGCACAATAATTTGAACCATGGCACAGTTGCTGACTCTTGCTGCATCAGCGGTACTGAAACCTTTTACAAGGGTGGGGAGAAAGGGCTGCCAACTTGCAACAGTTAAGGCTCCAGGAAGAAGGCAGTCATTTGAAGGGGCAACTTTTTATTACATTATCTGAGGGCATCGCAGGAGTTGTGGCGCTTCCCGCCTGCCTGCCTGCCTGCCTGCCTGCCTGCCTGCCTGCCTGCCTGCCTGCCTGCCTGCCTGCCTGCCTGCCTGCCTGCCTGCCTGCCTGCCTGCCTGCCTGCCTGCCTGCCTGCCTGCCTAAGCCTCACTCAATTCTCTCAAGCGGGGCTCGCTACCATTGGTGGATTCCGACATAAATATTTAAAGCCCACCTTCTGGGCCTAGGTTGCTCCAACGCCCAATATCAATCTCCTCCAGTTCCAAATCCCAGCCCCTTGCCCAGTCTTGGAAGTTAACAGCATGGAGGCCCGGGTTTGGAAGCAGTCGACCAGAGCCAGAGCAGTATTTGCTTTGCTCAACGGAATGCCTTTTCTTCGCTAAAAACCATGGTGATGGTGCCTACCATTGAAACCTATCCCATGGGAATCGAGTCCAGTCAGCGAAACACCATTTGAATGTGCTCCCCAAGCGCAAGCATGTCTAACCTTAGATTCCATTTAATTTATATTTGGAACATGGAAAACAAACTTTCTTGGAAAGGCAATCCTCTTTCAAATCTAATGTCAAGCAAGAATTCCAATTCAGCATCTTCTTTAAGAAGGACCATCCTTCTTAAATCATGTTTAAATCCAGAAATTTTATTTGATTTTTGTCACTTTGCATTTCGATTTAAAGATTCCTTTCAAATGTCTGTTCATAGTATCCCAAACACTAGCAAACATACTAGAATCCTTTCTTTATTCAACTCTTTGCAGATTCTGATAAAGCAACACGTACAAACCGATTTAGTTTCTAATCCAAATAATATGTTTCTTGAAAAGGATATCTTTACAATAGAACCTCCATTTTTCAACGTTGCTTTTAACGTGAGTTAATAAACCCTAAGACCCACACCCTACACCTGTCCTATTTTTAAGCCGAGGTCTGGACCATAACAGCTATATATCGGAGCCCAAAGTAAAAACGTAAAAGCGAACAACTAATAAAACCATGGAGCCAATGGCTCAAAAGTAAGCCTATAGAAAAGTACAGTTATGCACCAATGACCCAAAAGTAAAGCAGCAAAAAGTCAATAAATACAAATATGGAGCCAATGACCCAAAAGTAAACAAGTAAGAAAGTACACAAGTCAACATGAAATAACATGCTTTGACCATGGACTTTTGTTTTCCATTTTTTATTTTGGGTCATTGGCTCAACAAATTTAACTTTGCACAGATTCTTTTTTTTATTTGTTTGCTTCATTTTTGTTTTATGTGTTTACTTTTTGGTCATTGACTCCATAATGTTGCTTTTTTTAACGTTGTTTTGCCTTTGCTGCCTCACTTTTGGCTCATTGGCTGCATAATTTTTGCTTTGTTACGTTTTTGTGTTTTTTTCTTTTGGCTCTAACCTATTTTTTGCATTTTCTGAGCTAAGACATCGGACAGAGGTAGATCCAGCCGACTGAAATGTCACTCGGGCCTGGATTCAAGGTCTGGGAAAGTTTGGAGCCTGAAGCTTCCAATTTTTCTTTGGACATTTTTGGGGCTGTTTTGCCCATTTCTGAAGGAAGGTAGATCTATGAAGGGTAGCTTGATAGGCAACATTCCCGGCACCGGCTGCATGTGTCATACGTGCAGCCAAGCGGATGTTGCACGTTCTACGTTCATTCTTTCCAGGCGCCTCCCCTTTTGGGAAGAAGGGGTTGGCGTTGCTTTGCTTTGCTTTGCTTTGTTTTGTTTGTGCTTGGTTGTAGGTTTGTTTGCTTGCTTTCTTGCTTGCTTGCTTGCTTGCTTCTTTGCTTTGCATTGCTTGCTTTTTTCTTGCTTGCCGTCTTTCTTGCTTGCTTCTTTGCTTTGCTTGCTTCTTTGCTTTGCTTGCTTGCTGACTTTCTTGCTTGCTTCTTTGCTTTGTTTGCTTGCTTGGCTTGCTTGCTTTGTTTGCTTCTTTGCTTTGCTTGCTTCGCTTTGCCTTGCGTTTCCTTGCCCTTGCCTGCCTGCTTGATTGCTTGTTTATTTGGAGCGTGTTTGTGTCACTCATGTGGCATCATTGACGCCATGTGATTGATTGCGCAGTATTTTGTACATCATCAGCTCTACGCCACTTTCTGAATATTCAAACTGTACTGGGGATACTGGCGGCAGAATTAGCCGACAGGGAGAGTGGTTCTGTCTCGTACAACATGTGCTGCGCTCATAGTTTTGCCTTTGCATGGTGAACAATATCTTTTTGTGAGAAGACATCTAGAGTTCACGTATTGGGTACTTGACAGTAGTGCTCAGCGGAGCGCTTGACCCAGGGCTTTTGGCACATCCTCAAGGCGGGTGCCTCTTTGTCAGCGCAGCCGTTGCCATTTCGATCAGTCGCCAGGCTGTCACGTCGCCTGTCCTTTTCCTCTTTATCCTGGAATCGGAGCCTTCAGCTGAAAAGTACAGCATGCCAACTTGCTTGCTTCGAAGTGCTTTGTGCACCATGCACGGAGGACCGCAGCCAGCTCCACTGGCAGATCGTTGTGTGGAGCTGATTTCACGGGCCGTGTCTTGCTGTCGCTTTTCTTGCGCAGGGCTCACCCTTGAGACAGACCAGGCTCTCATCTTTCTGCAGTTTCTTAAACAATCATCTGGGGCGCTGGAAGAGAAAGAGGCGCAAGAACAAAGCAAGACATATTCTTTCGCGTAAGCAGATGTGCAAGTACTTTGCGATGTCGTGGAACCTTCCGCCATATCGGTGCGCTGAGGCCGGGCTAATTGCGGGATTTCTCCTGGTGAACCTGCTGAAGGGCTGACACTCTCTTGACCAGGCACGCAGGACCCTGGCAATGACGGATGTTTGGCTTTCCGTTCAACCACTCAAAACGGATTCTTATCTTCACGGCCACACACACCCACACCCACACGCCCACGCCCACGCCCACGCGCACGCGCATGCGCACGCGCACGCGCACGCGCGCATCGCATTGCATTGCATCGCATTGCATTGCATTGCATTGCATTGCATCGCATCGCATCGCATCGCATCGCATCGCATCGCATCGCATCGCATCGCATTGCGTCACATTGTCACACAACATCACAGTATATCACACCTACTCCCATTGGAGTTGCTCTAAAGGCCCCAAAGCAGTTTAGTCTTTGGCAACCCTCGGTGTTGGTTGAGGTATTTCCACGCAAGACGCGCAAGTAACTAGTTTTTTCGCGAAAGTTTAGCGGAACTTTGGTAGGCGGTTCAGCGCGACTTTTCAGACGAAGCTGCCGAATACTACCTTTGTGCTGAAAAGTTGCGACTTTTGCGGCGGAGCTGCGGAAGTGCTTTTTGCGCGGTGCCTTTGTACTAAACAAATGCTACTTTTCAGGTGTACTACCTTGTACTGAACAAGTTTCACTTGTCAGCCGGAGCTGCAGAAGTGCATCTCGCGACCACCTGGACATTGAAAAGTTCAGTTTTGCTTTCAAGCGGAGCTGCGGAAGTGCGCTTCGCGTGCTATCTTTGCACTGAACAGTTGCGACTTTTCAGGCGGAGCTGCGGGAGTGCATTTCGCTCTACCTTTGTATTAAACAAATGCCACTTGTCAGGCAGAGCTGCGGAAACGGCAAGTACTATTCTTTGTACTGACGCGTTGCGACTTTCTGACTCTAGCGCTTAGAAGTGTACGGCGACGAACCCGCAAGAAAAGAGATAGCAACCTTTTCGAGACAGACTTTGGAGCAACCTCACATAAACACTTCCACAAGCATACTCACACGCGGCATACTCACACGCGTGCACATATGCACACGTGCACACATGCGCGCATGCACCGAGATATACACAACTTAGAGCGTTCGGCTGCGACCTGCTTTCTTGCATGTATCTTGCATGTACGGCGATTTGGGAAGGACCTTTAGTCTGACCTGGCCGCCTCATGTCTCTTTGTCGCAGGACAGCAGTAGGAAGTTATCGCGCGCAGCTGCGTGCAATGAACGGAGATGTGTGTGGGGCCGACTCGTTTTTGCGCACGTGTTATACATGCGCAACGCGTGTAGCCGTGGAAGAAGTTAAGAAGCTGTTCGTGATGCACGGGATGCGACTGCTAATGCTTTTTGTTATTTCTTTTGTTTGCACTCTTTCCTCCGCAAAAATCACTGCAGGACTTTAGTGGTTAGCTGCCGCCGTTTGTTCAGGTTCTGTGCCCTAGCTGATATTTGCATTTCATCGTTTGATTTGGAAAGGTGCCCGGAAAGTGACGGAGGGGGAGGGGCTTCTCATGGAAGCAAACTCGGTCCTGCTGCTGCTGCCTCCCTCCCTCCCTCCCTCCCTCCCTCCCTCCCTCCCTCCCTCTCTCTCTCTCTCCGCTCTTTCCTTTTGAGCGGTCCCCGCAGGACTTGAGTAGGGGCCTCTGGTTTGCCTCCCTTGGTTCTGGTTCTCCTCGCGCGGGGTGCGATAGTTTTTGTGTTTGCAACTTTCTCGTTCTTTTGGAAAGGGACTGATGCAATCAATCTCTTTCCGGCTGAGGCTTCTGCTTGTGCCCTCTTTCCTTTTGAAAGATCCCGACACGACTTGTGTAGGGGGTACTTGGTATTTGCAACTGCCTCTGTTCTTTTGGAAAGGCCCGCAGAAGTGATGGACGGGGGGTGCTGCTGATGCAATCAAGCTTTGTCCTGCTGATGCGCGTCGTACATGTTTGCGCTCTTTCCTTTCGAAAGGTCCCCGCAGGACTTAAGTAGGGGCCTTCGGCTTGCCTTGGTTTGGTCAAGTTCTGTTCCCTAGCTGGGATTTGTGCAGCTTGTTTTTGTAACTTCCTCGTTTCTTTTTGTGGAAAGGTCCCAGGTGCTACTGATCTGTTTTTGCTCTTTCCGTTTGCAGGGTTTTTGCTGGACTTGAGTAGTTGGTATGCCAATGTTTGTTCAAATTATCTTTACTTGCTGGATTGTGTGCAGTTTTACTTGCAATTTCCTTGTTTTTCTTGGATGGTCCACAGAAGTGATGGATTGGGGTGCTACTGATGCAATCAATCTCTGTCCTGATGATGCCTTTTATTAGTTTTATCTCACTCTCTCTTTGCGCTCTTTCCTTTTGAACGGCCCCGCAAGAACTTGAGTAGGGACCTTGGGGTTGCCTCCTTTCGAAAGTGCTTCCTCGGATCAGGGTGCTACTGATGCAATCAAGCTCTTTTCTGCAGATCATGTTGTTTGCACTCTTTCCTTTTGAAGGGTCCGCGCAGGACTGGAGTAGACCTGTGGTTTGCCTGCGTTTTTTTCATGTTATTTGCCCTAGCTGCTTGTAGGGATTGGTTTGCCATTTCGTCTGTCATTTGGAAATGTCTCTGCAAGACACAAGTAGGGACCTTTTGGGGTAACAGGTCGGAGGAAGGCTGCGTTTTGTGTGTCCAACACGCCTTCTGTGGCAGGCGGATACACACACACACATGCACACATGCACATACACACAGACACACACGCAGACACACAGACACAGATAGACACACCCACACAGACACATACACACACACACAGACACACATTAGCACGCACATCGAACTGCATCACACCACACCACATCTCACATCTCGCATCTCGCATCTCACTTCTTGCATCTCACGTCGCACATCTCACATCGCATTTGTGTACATTCAACCATACATTATCATCATACTACATCGCATCGCACTTCACGCATTTCAGATCTCATATCACACATAACACATCACACACAACACATCACACGTCACAAATTACACATCACACACACACACACTTGCACACACACACTTGCACACACACACACACACACACACACACACACACACACACACACACACACACACACACACACACACACACACACACACACACACACACACACACACACACACACACACACACACACACACACACACACACACACACACACACACACACACACACACACACACACACACACACACACACACACACACACACACACACACACACACACACACACACACACACACACACACACACACACACACACACACACACACACACACACACACACACACACACACACACACACACACACACACACACACACACACACACACACACACACACACACACACACACACACACACACACACACACACACACACACACACACACACACACACACACACACACACACACACACACACACACACACACACACACACACACACACACACACACACACACACACACACACACACACACACACACACACACACACACACACACACACACACACACACACACACACACACACACACACACACACACACACACACACACACACACACACACACACACACACACACACACACACACACACACACACACACACACACACACACACACACACTCACGACCAACAAAACAAGCTCCTCATCGCACACAGCTTGCGAGGTGGAGATAACGTAGATATCATTGGCGCGCTCTTCCAGGCGATATCGATCGCACGAGCTCAGGCACTTGCCGGCAGAGAATCTCACTTGAGCGCAGAAGAAGATGTGTGGCATTGCGAGTGTCTGGGATTTGGACCATCGAGTTCCCACTGCTTGGATGTGTTTGAACTTGGCTGGTGGAATCATGAGCTTCATGTGCGTTCGATCTACTTCTAGATATCGGCTGGATCAATCGAAAGCCACTGGAGTTTGTCACAGTGGGCTGTGCTGGACTAAGAAACAGTTTGTCAACTTTGTGTGGAGTCCTGGGCTCAAGCAGGCAGTGATTTCTAGAGCACCTTTGCAACATGATGTGTCAATATGGTCTCCAATGTTTTTTCTTTTCTTTCTTTCTTTCTTTCTTTCTTTCTTTCAGATGGCTCACAGAACTTATTTCCAGACGCATTTTGCAGAAAGAGGAAGGCGGCTACTCGTAGCCGCGCGAGACTTCGCCATGGCGAAGGCCAGCAAAAAGGATGGTGTCAGGAAAAGCTGCGGTTGTGGAACGAGCTCGTGCTTCAAGCGTTTCACGCCAGACACAGAGCGAGAGAGAGAGCGAAATCATTGCAAGAGCCCCTGGTTTTGATGCGCCACATGGAGTCGCAGACGATCCAGACAGTCAGAGTTGGGGTAGACGACAAGCTTGACCTTGGTGGGCAAGTGAGACAAGACTGCAGGTCTTTCGCATATGCTAGTTCTGAGCAGCAGGCGCTTCGGAGTTGGCTGCTGGCTTTCCCAGTGCTTGCCGTGGATATGACGGCTATTTGCTAGCATTGGGAAAGCTCTGTTCGGCTGTGAGGGTACCAAGCATCAACTGGATGCCCTTGTTGCACTTCTGGAGAGGATGTGGCTGAGAGCTCAGGTGAAGGATCTCTTGCGACTAGCGGAGACCGTAGGCTTGCAGAACCCATCGGACGACTTACTCCGGTGCCTTGCCGCTTGAAGACATGGAGGGCTATGTTGATTTCGTTGCTGACATTTGACTGGGATGTTGGCTGTACGAGTCTCAGGCTATACTCTGAGCAGGCTAACCCCAACCCAGCCCAAGACCACTCCCAAGCATGAACCCACCCTGGAATCACTTCCCTTCTGCCTATGCCAAGCCCAGGGGCGTGCCATGGCCAGTGGCGTGGCCCCTCACGGCTCGAGACCTGCAGAGGCGAGAGGGTCAGTCAGAAGCGCGGTGGCTTGCTTCTGAAGCCTGTGTGTCCTTCCCCCATGGGGAAACTGAGGCTTCAAGCAGGACACCTGTTACTTTGCGTTTGCATTGGGCACTTTGCCGCAGGATGGATGAGACGGATGATGCGGTTTTCTACTCGTCCGCGCGGCTGGTGAAGCACATTGACGACTCAGCCATTCGTGCCCTGGATCGCTTTTCTTGGAGCCGTTCAGTATCACAATGCCCAGGCTCCATCAAGGATTACTACCAGGCGCTCCTCGCTTGCAGGGTCAAGGCTCAGTTTCATTTGCACGCTGATGCCAGTACTGAGGTGCAGTTTCAGCCTAGCTCGGCTGTGCTGGATATTTGCTCCTCCTGGGTGTCTCATTTTCCAGAGATGCATTTGGCGCGGGCTGTGGGTCTCGGCATGAACGCAGAGGAGCTTGCGCAAAATCAACAGCTCACGGAGTTTGTGGTGAAGGATTTGAACAAGGCCGGGAAATCAGCAGAAATCATGGCAAAGACTTGGCGATATTTCGCCTCTCTTGGACTCGCGGTGCAGTCCAATGTGAGGATGTTCTGCTGGAAAATATGATGAGATATTATCAAGAAACATGGGCCACACCTTTTGTGGGGATCGAAAAGGGTTTGTTCAAGACATGTTTTGCTGGTGTGAGCCACACTCGAGTCAGTTGCTAGGATCCTTCTCTTCCCTTTCATGACAACGACTTTGACACGGTTGTGAATGTGGCCTCTTGGCCGAGCACAGTGTCTCAGCACAAAACTTGCTCTCGCTCCCGCATGTTCACCAGGTAAGCGTGGACTACCTGGCGCACCCCCTCGAAGTTTTTCGAGACATCTTCAGAGTTCTGAAACCTGGCGGGATGGCGCTCCTTGCTTGCACCTGGTCATGCCAAATCGGAAAAAAAAAAACCGGAGGGCAGTCCTTGGGCCCCGGAGTTTAGAGCTGCTCAGCGGCAAGCCCCAAATTGCGCAGGATCATGAGCTTCAGCAACCGCTTCTTCCAATCCAAGGCGATAAAGCTTTGGCTGGTCAGCGACGAAGTGCGGCAGCGCAATGCACTGTGACACATGTGACATAGTCTCTCAAGCTCTTTGCGTTGCCCTTGAGGAGATCGGAGAGATTCAACGTTGCCAGGCAGGGCGCGACACGCGCACACACACACACACACCGAGCTGTGGAGAGACTTGGGCACAGTTTCAGAATTAGCCATTCGGGCCTTTGGTAGGACGGACATGGACGGGCACAGCTATGCCGTTTCAGTCTGTAAGGATAGGACAGAGATCAGTTCCGGGCGTCTCTTTGGACAGGTGGTTTCCTGGTACTTCAAGTTCGCTGGCTTTGGGGACATCACGGCAAAGGACCATGCGATTGGCATAGGATCTCGAAAGCAAGTCCAAGAGTGGCTTGTGCCCAGGGCTACGGCGTTCATTCCAAGCTCAAAGCGTGCTGTTGATAGTAACACAGCAGTCTGAAGTGCTGCAGTTCGGCATTTTACAGACGAGGCCTATTCATTCCCTCAAGAAAGTTTGTTCGCCAGGCATACGGGATTTGGCACGCTCAGACTTTGTCGTCTCGGCGATCTTGAAACAATATGGCAAGTCGCGGATTTGCTGCCGTCGCCAATGTGCTTACACATCTTGCCAGGACCTGACTTCCTCCCTCGGTCACGACCCCGTCTACGTTGTGCAGGGCGTCAAGCCTGTCAAGCCTCAGGAAGAGCTGTGACCGGACCAGCCACAATGCCCTGGCAAAAGGGTGCGCAGAGGCATCGCGCATTGAGAAAGAGCAGCTTTTGGTAAAGCGGAGAGAGCGAGTGAGAGTGAGAGCGCTGCGAGCGAGAGAGAGAGAGAGAGAGAGAGAGAGAGAGCGCATGCTGGGGGTGGGGACCCAGGCTCACAGCAAGTCAAACATGAGCCAAGCAAACCAAGCAGCTCGCTCTGACCGTGTCTTTGCACCGTTTTGTTACCATGTGCTGTCCCAGCCGATCCCTTGCAAGGGAGGCAGCGATTGGACCACACTTAGGGCTTACAGTCTTGTGCTTCAAGCATGGAAGAGCAGCTCACTTGCTAAAGGCTGGGTTATGGGAATGTGTGAAAGTTTGGTCTCCGTCCCTGTGCCTAGTTGTTTCTCCCAGTCTCTGTCTTTGTGTGTGTCCCTCATTCTCTCTTTCTTTTTCTGTTTCTGTTTATCTTTCTTCTGTGGAAGACTCGAAGTTCCAAAAAGAAGCAAAAGAGACCAAGCCACTGAAGGGTGCCGTTTGGAGGCCAATGTGTGCGTCCTTGGTCGGTGATCAGGTTAGGCTTGAATTTCCCACGGAGGATCATTGCCCTAATGTCCTTTTGTCACCCGTCCTCGCCGCATGTTTCAGACGGAACCCTGACACCTGATCCACCCTTCAGAAATCCAGCACAGCGCATGATTCCTTTGGAACCACCAATGTGTGCTTGAGACTTAGGTGGGTGTACGCGCATCTGTGAATCATCTTCGCATTCGTGCCACGTGTGGTCTCTGGATCCTTTGCAATGTACACGCCTCAAAATCGAGTTCTTGAGCGCACTGCACCAAAGTTTTCGGAACTGTGTCAACGCGCTCCGCCACCAAAGTGCCATTTGAAGATACTCGTGGACCGCAATTTGGTGATGACATAGCACCATTTCAGGAGGGTCCTTAGTCCCCAGTTTCGATCTGTTTCTAAAGACGGCCCGAGCTCCGACCATCACCTCTTGAGCAACTCTGGTCAGGCGGTGGCTGAATTCCGTTGCCCCGATGGATCGCTGGCTTTGCTGCTGTGCCTGGGGACCCAGATTTTGTTTGAGCATCCAGCACACAGTCAAGCGCTGCCTGGCGGGAACTTCGCATTAGGTGGCATCCACTTCCAACGCAGAGAATGCGAGGACCTGAGGCAAAGGCGAAACTTGCTGCCGGTTCATGTGAACATGCGCTGGTCTGAGTGCCATACTGAGGTTACGCTTGCCCCAGACAACGTGGTGGTTCCGGAGGCGAGCGTGCTTTTTACATTTGCTTCACTGGCTTTCCTCCAGCCATAGTCAAATGCTGAAACTTGGGTTGCCCACTGGGACTTGCCTGCATCGACGCAGGCATCGTCGCTGTACCCGCTTGCCACTTCCGGGCCGCAGTTTCCACGACTGCCAAAGGCCAGGGAACCCAAAGACCTTGCTTTCGGAATGTCAAGTGTCCACTCTCAAAGGAAGCCAACCATTTTGAGGGGCTTCCTTACTTTTCAGGGGTTCCTCAATGTTTGCTGGTCACAGCGCTCGCTTGGTTCGCATGCCTTCTTTCTCGCGTGCCTTGAGGCCGGCGTAGCCATTGCAGAGGAGCCCGAGGAAAAAGAGGTGAGGTTCGTGTCCTGAGTGCTGGTGACCTCTTTTCACTTAATTTCTTAAGCTCCTTCCGAGCGGCCGTCTCTTCGCAAGACTGGTTGTAGCCTCTGGCCCTCCCACCCTTGCACCCTCTTCTCCATGAAGATGTCATGGGCAGAATTGTCCCGTTCTACGCTGCGGGCAGGGAAATGCCGAGCTGGACACCGCGCGTTCAGCAATTTCTGCCGCAATGCCTGGGGGCGGGGCGGTGGGTACTTCCAATGCAAGAGTTAGAAGTGCTGACGGTTTCGTCGCTCACCTTGGCACCAAGGCGAGCTCCATGTCGCCGGAGGAGAAGGCGCCAAAAGCAGATTTGGAGATGCTTGATGCCTTGTGAACAGCTAAACTGCACGTCTTTGAACGAAAAGCTCTTGGTCTGCAAGCCAGTGGAATGAGTCAAAGAGCGATGAGTGGTTTACTCGCCCCTCCCTCGCTGCCATTTCAGAACTCGCTGTGGTGCTAGCGGCGGTTTAACCACGCGCGCAGGCACATGAACGGTATGCAAGATGCAGCACTTGAACATGGCATCACGCTACGCAGTTACGCAGCTTGCAGGGGTGTACCTCGAACTGTTTCTGAACTCTTTGTGCAGTTGGATCTTTGCAGTGCATGTGAAACAGACGGAAGCTCGATCGGCAGCATTACAAGCTGGTGCACGGCAGTACCGGTGTTTTGCACCTTCCAGACGCCATCATTTCACAGCTGAACTCAACACTCCCAGATGCAAAGATACCCCTGCACACCGGTGACACAAAAAGCTGCGGCAGCTTTGACGCCCGCGGCTTTCAAAGTCGTTGTGTTCCAGGCTTCTGAGCTGCACTCAGATGTCTCTAACGAGGTTCTGCAGTTGGTCGGGAAACCTGCGTGGTGTCGGGAGCCAGAGTGCTGGGGGAGGGTTTGAAACCAAGGTTTCCAGCGGAAACAGAATGGAAGGCTTGCAGACGGATACGGATCCGAAGGCTGAGTCACCCGTGCGGTGTGCGTGCGGTGCGGGGCCCGTCTTTTTTGGCATGGGGTTGTTAAAACGAGTGGATCCTTGGTGGGGGTCCTGCCCTTTTTCTTGGGAAGTTGGGACTCTAAAGCAGCCCGCCATTTGGACTCGCTCCCACCGAAGTCAATTTCGGCACTCAATTCCTCGGAGTTTCCGGCCAGGTTGAGGTGTTCGAGCGGGACGAGCTGCTGAAAGTGCGGTGGTTGGTGGGGTGTGAGGAGACCCTTGCTCTTGAGCTTCGCCCTTGAGCACATGCATTGAATCGAAGCCAACTTGAAACACATCCCAAAGAGAGTTGCTACCCCTGCGCTACTGCAGCCACAGGAGGATTGGGCAAACTGAAGCGACGGTTTGCGGGTTTTGCAATGTGTATGGCCTTCTTGCATTGAACGAAGCAGTAGTCCCTCCAAGAAGCCTGCTACTGGCCTCCAAAATGCAAGTAGCATTGTGTCGACAGGAGCTGAAGGAAGGAACGACTCGTAAGTCAATCATCCGCCAGATTTTTCTCCCAGGCCTGGCAGAGTGATGACCTGCACGTTTCCAGCTCCATGCTGTTTGTTTTGAGTTGCAGGTGAGTGGCTGTCATCGGATGATCATGAGCAGGACACCTAGAACCTGGAATCCCAGTCCGCCGTGGGGGCCTCATTCTGCCCCAACCACGGCGTGTGCATAAGGCCGGAGGCATCGCGCCATGGCAAGGACCCAGCAGAATTTGATCCGGCTTCGCATAGGTTTTGATACACTCTTTGCAGGAGCCCCGTCATTCCCGTGCCCAAGCGCCTGCCGCATCCTCAAAAGACTGGCGATTGCATTGGGTTGAGAACAAGGGCCAGGGGTCAATATTGAAGTTCCACATTGTGAATATGTCCATACACTGGCGAAAGTACCAATCAATCGGTGGCAAGCCCTGGGATCGCCAAAGTGAAGGCGCCGCGGGCAGCCAGTCAAAGGCGCTGGATCAAAATTAATCACTTGGCATAAGAGTGCTCATAACGGGCAGGAACAAGTCATAATGTTGACGCAAGCAGAGGAGAGGGAGGATCACAGAGCAAAGCTGAACACTGCACTCACTCGTCCTCTACCATTTCAGGTTGTTTAGCATTGCCTCAGATTCCTTCGGCTTTTTGTTTTCTTGCGTCGTCTTCCGCATTTTCTTTAGGATGACGGTGTGACATTTGAAAGCAAACTGAGGCTGCGGCAGTGCCTTCGAGCTTCTCGGCTGATTTGGCCGATCGTTGACAGGGATTGGGAGTGTATGTCCTTATAAACGGTCTGCAAGGAAGTCTGTGACTTGCTCCTGAGAATTCCCAGAGCAGCTTTCCAGCATGTGAGCCACTGGTTCCTCTGGCTGATTGATCACAAAATAGAGAGGCTTATGTATTGACGCCAACAGTACCACCAAAACTTGCCACGCCCATAGTGGGGCGCTGAGGCGCTGGCGTCCATGGCGACACGCCAGTGAAGGACGGATGCACCGCATCCGTGGACTGTTGAGTCAGTCCGAGAGCTCATGAGGGGAAGGGTCTGAGGCAAGGGATACACATTCTCTCAGAAAAAACAGCTGACAGCCTCCACCAGTTTTTTTCTTCTTCTTTTGAGCGGACTGGTTTATTTGCCTCCCGAGAGTTTCCAAGTTCCAGCTCGCCTAAAAGCCGAGTTTCCAGGCCAAGGAGAAGAAGGAGGAAGAGAGCGAGTCTGCCTGCCCTGCTTGGCAAAAGCTACGATAGGATTGTTCGCACCAGGAACAAGAAGCGGACAATGCCTCTCTTTACGATTGGATAGAGCTGAATTCTGACCATGTTTGAGGTAGGAGGAGCAGATTCGCACTGCAGGCACTTCGCTGTTCAGTCTGGTGCGAAGCAAAGCGATGGCAGCTTCTGGGCTGAATTGGCACAGACTTGTCCAGCATGCAGTGACGGCAGTCCTTCTCCTGAGGCACTGGCGTCGGAAGCACTTTCGACACCAGCAGCAACAGCAGCAAGGAGAGCAATCACGAGGCCAAGGATTCCAGCAGCCTGGCGTGAAGAGACCCCACTTTCAATGCTTCGATGCCCCAACCAGTGTTTTTTCTTAGTCGGCCAACACATCGAGCATGACTGCCTGATTTCAAGCATGACGAGCCGACGAGGTGTGAAGCTGTGATTTCTTTGTTTGAGGCAACAGCTCTCGGAATGTCATCAACATCAGCAATTGCATTGGAAGCGGAGACAGCAGTGGAGCCTTGGACCAAATCGGCTTGGCCCCGACTGCATCAGCGGAAACAAAATACAATATGCGGTGATAGCCCGTTTATTGTGATGCGAGCATGGGTGAAATGAGAGGCCGAGTGAGGTGTGTAGTTGATGGGCAAACCGGACATATGTCAAGTTGCTGACGCTTGGCTTGAGAATCATATCGAATGCTGAGGCAAGACCATCAGCCTCAATGCCAGTATCAGCACTCCCAGCCGAGCTCCCACTGCCGGGCAGCCTGTGATTGCTAGCCTCTACTGAGAGCCAAGAGGCAAGCTGGACTTGTTTGGTAGAGCCTCTACAGGCCACATGTGAAGATTATTCCCAAGCAGATGCGGAGTCCATTGTCTTGACTGTTCCCAGGGGTTATTAAAGTCAGAAACTTCCCTGCAGCTCACCACTTGGTGACTTGGATACTGGAAACAGCTTCGGGCCATAGAGAAAGTCGGCTATTGGACGGGCAGAAGAGCGTGGCTGGTCTGCGCGGTTGCCCGAGGCCGAGGAGCAAGCGACGGCTGCGCTGTCAGCGATGCTGGGCCTGGGAAAGCCGAAGGCGCCAGGGAGAAGCGTCGAGCAGAGCGCGCAACACCATCGCCTCTTCGAATGGACGCTGCGATGTCCGATTCTTTTTGAGGTGTGCTTGGGCCAGGTGCCTTTAGCGCCCACTCCGCCTCCCCGCACCCACTGGGCCATTGGCAGGCCAGGAATCAATTGCCTGAGATTCGGATCGAAAGGGAATCGGCTCTTGGAGGTCCGGAACTTTGATTTACCATAGGACATGAACACAAATGCGTTTGAGCAGTGCTGTGGCTGACACAACTTGAACTGCTGTCCCAGTTCTGGCTCTGCGGTTGGATACTCGCTCGGAACTTAGGTGGCTAGATATGGTCAACAATTTGAAGACTCCCACGGGACCCATTCGATAATTGGAGACTGCCACGGGATCCCATCCGATGCTGAGGCCAGCACGATCAGGCCAGGCGTGCTAGCCTACCTGTTGCATGGCCATTCTCCATGCAAAAATTGGTTGCCTCCATTTTTTGGGTTAACCTCGTTTCCTCGGAGCCAGTAGAGGAGGAGTACAAATCGGTGCAAATCCGCTCGCATTCCCATGTCCGCAGGATTGAACCCCAATGCAGCGGAGTTCCGGCCTATGGTGGAGCCTGGCACTCAGGGTCAGTCAGCCAGGGCCGCCAGGGCCGCCAGGGCCGCCAGGGCCGCCAGGGCCGCCAGGGCCGCCAGGGTCAGTCGGTCGTTCGGTGAGTCGGGTGCCCGCACTGGGCTTCGAAACTTGAGGTTGGCACCATGTGAGGCGCGGAAAGTTGTAATCAGTTTCGGTCACCAAAGAAGCTCGCCAGGGGCCAGTGTTTGGTTTACTTGAAGTGGGAAGGGGCTTCGTGGCATCAAACTGCAGCACATGAGGATGTACTGCGGTGAGCCTTTTTTAGTCTAGTCATGCTTCGAACTTGGGCCATGCCGAAAAGCTTCAGTGATAAACGACTCATGTATTCCTATGAAATGCTGTTAAATACCAAGTGAGCGCAGTGAGACACAAGCAAAGCCAGGGCACAGAGCAGTTCAGGGGGAGGCTCAAAGATTTGTTTAAGACGTGCTCATGCAAGGCATCCATGTGAGCAGGCTGATTGGACTGTACTCAGTGGTACAACTACACGTGAATCACGCGAATGTATAAATCATATGCTCATCCTCGCAACTTCTTGGTAAAACCCACTTTCGCCCCGCATGTTTTGGTACGTCATTTTCAGCCCGGCCACTGTCTTCGGGATCAGTCAAAGCTGAGTCCGGCCGCTCCACAGCGCGCTACGCGCCAGGTCTCCGCTCAATCCGAAAGCTTCCCCGAGGCCAGCGGAGTTTTCTTTTCCGGCGCCCCGGAATTTTCGTTCGCTGTTGGTTGCGACGTGAATCCGGGGCAGGTGCTAGCGATTTTTGTTTGGCAGTGCCATCAACTTCGCCAGATGACGAACTTGCTTGGGGTGAACCTGCTGGATGAGATTTGTGGAGGACCAGCTTGTTGAACCAAGCTCTCCATTGTCACGCTGCATGCTTGCTAGGCCACCGCTGAGGTTACAGTGTTTTTCTACTTCCACAGAGCCATCTACCGCTGCATAGAGAATGCAGCTGTAGTGATGCCCCATGCAATTTATCACCTTGTTTCACATTGGTCAAATCGCCATTTCTCAAGAGCTGTGGTATTCTGGTCATGTTTTCAGTACTACCATTGCCATTTTGTATTATGCGCTGAACAACACGAATTTGACACTTTCCAGGAGCAGAGGAAGGTGAAGCGGAGTCTGGGGCTGAGAGGGATGGGGCGTTGTTCAGTTGCGAGCGAGCGGTGACGTGTGAAAGGAGCGGATAAGAAGGCCCAGAAGAAATCAGATGGCTAGACATTTATCGGGAAACCACCTCAAAAGCGGTTTGTGGACATGAATCCCTAGATGATGTCCACCAAAGGGTCCCTGCTTAAAATTCAACTCTCCGCACCTTGAATTCTGTGGAGCCCCGCCTGTGACTCGCAGGACTCCAGCTGATGAGGAGGAGGTTCCTGCCAAAAAGTAGGCAAGGGCGATGGTCTCGTGCTCAGGGCTCTTTTGTTCACAGGCCCGTTTCAAAACTCCACACACGATTCCTGTTCAAATCCGAACACGAATCCTAGCACGAATCCTAACACGAGTCCTAACACGCACAGTGATGAACTGCGGTTCTTTCAAATCCGAAAACACGAATCGCCTTTGTCTCCACACTGCTTGTCTCAATGGGAATCCACTGGCTCGGGCTCGGCCAGGCGACTTGAGGGTGGCTGCCCCAGCTTGGGCCGGCACACTCCAATGAGGGATCCGAGAGGAGGTGTTTCACGCCAGAAAAAAAGCAAGCTGCGCCACTGAGAGACTCCAGGCCAGGGACCGAGTAGAGCCTCAAGGCCTTCCAAATCTTTAGGACCACATTTGGCGATTTGGCAGACACGCCAAGGCAGAGGCTTGGGTATCCTGGCAGTTTGGCCAGTGGCGTTTGTGAAAGTTTGCAGATGCTGCCACGTATTTGTTGTATGAAAGCAAACAGAGCCTGGCCATGTAGATCTTTGGTCCAGTTGACCGATAAGGTTGTGCGCTAACTTTCAATGTGTTCTTGTATATTCCCGAATGCGTAGCATAGGGTTCTCGTTTCATCTTGGGGGTCTGGGGGTGAAGCCTTGTTCGCCGGATGTTTTTCAACCGTCCGCAACCGTTCGCAACCGTTCGCAACCGTTCGCAACCGCTCGCAACCGTTCGTATGATTGCGCTATGGCTCTCCCAGCGGGGAAGCGCAGAACGCATGAGTTTGATGACCTGTGATGTGCTGTTTTCGTTGGCCCTGTGCGCGAATCGTAGCTTCTCAAGCTCGACGTGTCGTTTCGCTACGCAGGCGCAGTGTTTTGTGAGGATTCACGTTTGCGCTGCGAATCGAATGCCGTGGGATTCGCGTTTCAGGGGTCATCGTTTTGAGGTGTTCTGCTTGGAATGCTTGTAGTATAAGTCAAATACGCGAAGTACAGGTTTCCAGCTCTGGCTGGAAAACCGCAACTTTGTAGTACAAGTCCAGCAAGCGAAGTACATGCTTCCAGCTCTAGCCAAAACCGCAAATTTTGGTAGTACAAGTCTGGCGCGCGAAGTGCCGGTTTCGAGCTCGACATTGCAAATCGCAACTTTGTAGCACAAGTGTAGCACGCTCGAAAATCGCAACTTTGTAGTACAAGCATAGTACGCGATCACAACTTTGAAGTACGAGTCTAGTGCATGAAGTGCAGGTTTCCAGCACTAGCTGGAAAATTCCAACTTTGTAGTACAAGTATAGTGCGCGAAGAACAGGTTTTGAGCTCCAGCTCGAAACTCGCAACTTTGAAGTACAAGTCTAGTACGCCAAGCGCAGGTGTCCAGCTCCAGTTCGAAAATCGTAACTGTGTAGCAATAAGTCGAGTACGCAAAGTGCAGTTTTACAAGCTGAAAAAATAGTTTGCGCCTTGACTTGATTGCGAGCCCCACTGGCTTATACCGAAAAATGTTCTCTCTAATTATTTTCTTGGGTTTTCGCAACGTGATGTGCATTCGGGTTCGTGGGCTCTGTCTTGTTTTTTACAAGTCACAGTTCGGATCGTTCGGTATGCCTCCCACTCTCTTTGGCGTGCTAAGGTCAACATCGAATGATCGCAGACGGCGGTGACGCATTCTTCTTGAGTCATCAGCTGCTTCTAACAATGAGCATAGTGCACATGCTCTTGGTGTTGGGCGGAAGCAGTTGGAACCGTAGCATTTGCTTCTTTATCGCACCGCTGATGGCCCAACAGATGGCAGGAGAGTAGGAAGCTTTTGTGATATCTGCAGATAAAAGGGTATGGAGTTCATTTCTTTAAGCTTGCTGCTATGCGCGTTGTGAAGGCCAGGATTGATAGCTGCCACTTGTCCCGGCAAAGAGCACAGTCAGCTTTATGCAAGCCCAGTGCTTCCGGTGCACAGGATTCTGTCCGGTGCGGCTGGAAGCTGCACGTAGGATGGTAAATGAAGCCCTCTTGCAACAGGCTATCATCTGCTCTGAGCACTTGCCGTGGGTGTCAACCGCAATCGCACGAATTCGGATTCCAGGGCTGAGGCAGGCGTCCGGAAAAGCGAGAGGCATCCGCGGAGTGCTCAGCCCGTGGCCTTCGGTGTGAGGCTTTGGGGCCGGAGGCGGGAGAGCGAGCCACGAAGCGTTTTCAAACGACTCGAAGAATTCGGCGTTCCGCTCTCCGGCCCTTGAGTTTGAAGAGCATGCCTCAGTAGGAATGGAGGCCACACCCTGCTAAAAGCATTGAGTAGGGCGTAATTTGACCAGGGCTCTGGAAGTCATGCAAATGTTGCGTGTGGTCAGGAACCCCGGCTATGGCACTGTCCTTTTTCGAACACTGTTTTTTGAACATGGGCAACTTTCGTGGATGGCACATTTTGTGCCCGTCCCGTCATCCGGAGCTCTGTCCTGCTGTAAATATCTCTGTACAAGGAGATCGGGTGCTCGATGCAGCTTATTTTCTGGAGAATCCAGTCGTTCTACAAAGCTGCAGTGGACTTCAAGCAATACTGTGCATCTTGTTCCCTACCTGCCATTACAAAATCAACCGTCGGCCCTGGATGTTAAATGGAGGCCCTGTGGGTAGCACTTCACTTGAAGCGTTGTGGAGCACCCGGGAGGGCTTCGATTAATTATTGGGGGTTGACTTGGCTCTTGCAACGCCGTCATGAATCGAGTCTGTCAACCCTCAATGTAGAACACACGCCACGCGGGCATTTGCAGCATGCCAGAAGCTAGGTGTCCCGGAGCATTCTAGTCTTTTAGTTTCCGCGCTATCTGAAGTTCTTCTGCAGTGGCGTGCGTTCTGCACCGGCGGCTCCGTGGTTTGGGAGGTGCAGCTTTAGGACATACTATGTTGAGGCAGTTGTTGGTCCTTGGCTAAACCTTTAAACAAGATCTGTGCGCGCGCGCCTCTCTGGCCAACTGTCAGACGTGCCGTCCGGATTCGGCCCAGCCTTATCAAAAGGGCTTCAGTCAGACCTAGGATCGGAGCAATCTGTGAGTTGCTTCTGGCGTCGGAAGCTGGCCACGAATCTGCTGCGCGGATGTCAGTCGAGCCAAAGCGATGGACTTCTGTGTCAGAGCCTGCCAGAGGTTCAAAACAGCAAGGCAGAAGCTGATGCAACACCTGGCAGGGCCAAAGTCCTGTGTTTTTTCTTCAAGCTTTGAGCACTCAAGAGCTTTTCTGAAGAGGTCAAACCTGCGACCTGCACAGCTGTTGGTCGTGCCCAGTGGCCCCAGTGTCTATATATATACACATTCTACATATTATACGCTTCTTGTGACGCTGTGGAGTTGCGGGTCAGCCCCTTTCAACTCCGATGGAGATCTCTTGCTAAGTCTCGCCGTCTCGCTCTCGTTCATCGCCAGAGGCGACCTTGGCATGCGAAGCGCCGCAAGATCTCCGATTCGAAAAGTGCGACTGGCGCAGCTCTGTCAAGCGCCAGCAACACAACAGGGCATCGGTGGTCTTGTATTCCCCGCAAGAGCTTTGTTTGGAAAAACTTGAGTCTGGCAGACAAGATGTTAACAGGAGCGAGAGAAGGGCCGGCTGCAGCGGCTGGTGAAGGATTTTGCAAAGGAGGCAGGGGCCTCTGAGGGTCAGAGCGTGCCGAGCTGTCAGAAATGTTTTTTTTGGGTCCAGAAAGATCTGGTCTTGGCTCTTGGCTTCCAGCACAGAGGTGAACCTGCGAAGGTGGTTCCTCAATGTCGGACAGCACTGCCGCAGGGGTAGCCAAAATCCGCCATGCCGAAATGCTGGCACCAAAGGAGGAACGCATCATTGAAGATCCGTATGCGGAGTACTTCTACTTCGGATCAACTGTTTCAAAGTGGATCGGCCATGCCAACTGCGTGTGGCTTTTCGAGATGCTGGCACCAGGATCATATGAGATGCTGGTGGCAAGGACTCGTGTCATTGATGAGCTTGTAAAGACAGAGACTGCAGCTGGTGTCACTCAGGTCGTAGTCCTCGGTGCTGGGTATGACATGCGTTCCTTCCGCTTTCCGGTTCCTGGTGTGCGCTTCTTCGAAGTGGATCAGCCAGCAGTTCAGAAGCGGAAGAAGGACAAGGTCGCCAGCATCCCTGATCTTCCAGCTGCCAATGTTTACTATGTGCCTGTAGACTTCTCCTGCCAGTCGCTGGAAGAGGAGCTTCGCAAGGTGCCTGATTTCGATGTGAGTGCCAAGACCTTGGTGACCCTGGAGGGTGTGAGCCAGTACATTTCTCGGGAGGCCGTGTGCGCAACCATCAAGGCGATTGATCGACTGACGGGCGCGGGGAGTACCTTCTTCCTGTCCTACGTGGATGCCCAGTGCACCGAGCCCCAGAAGGTGGTAGGGCAGGGCTACAAGAACCCGGAGCGTGTCAAGCGCGTGGCCGCCGCAGCCGCCACCATGGGCGAGCCCTGGGTGACTTTCTTTGAACAGAGTGAGGTGCCCGGCATTTTGGAGTGCTCCCGTTTCAAGCTCGTCTCCGACGTGTCGACGGAGGAAATCAGCAGGCAGTACTTCCCTGCGAGTCGGCAGGTGCCATCTGAGAAGCTCCTTCAACTGGAGCGCTACGTCGTGGCCAAGAAGTGAACACAAACCATGAAGAGTTTGATGTCTCATATTTGACGATACAAAGGCTGTCGCACAAAGGGAGCGATGTTGACAACTCTCGGACTTGCGAGAGGCTTGGGCCCTCTAGTTGGTTCTTCGCTGGATATATACAAACACATGTCACACAAACCTGACGTGTGATGGAAACTACTTCCAAGCCGGCATCAAGCAATCTATTCTGCCCCCGCCGCCCACCTGCCTGCCTGTACGCAGGCGCAGGCACACACACACACACACCCACTCACCCACCCACCCACACACGCACACACGCACCCCATGCAAGTGAACACCCTCGCAAGTAGGCACCCATGCACGCAGGAGAGCATTCAGGCATGCAGGCACGCACGCGCACGAATGCACATGCACGCGCACAGAATGCGCATGCACTCGCGCACGAGCGCGCAGAGTACATTGCCAGCATGCAAATGCACGGCCGCGCACGCGCATGCGCATGCGCACGCAGACGTATGGGTTCTCAGGCAAACGTGCATACCAACTGGACTGAGGTGGTCAGCGGGATCCCTGTCAACCTCGTCAACCCTGAGACGAATAGACAGTCTCCGCACTTCTTCCAGGCCCAGAGATGATCCATGGGGCCAGTACCAGCCACTGGACAGTTGTACATCTAGGACATGGATCGATGCAATGCTTGCATGTCAAAGCTAATCTTTGGGCTTGACACTGCAAGCCATGCTTCGGGTTAACCGTTCCGCCGCTGTCCTCGGGATTCCCAGATGGATCGGTACCTCACGGTGCTGTCGCTGAAGCCGAAAGATGGCTCCACGGCAGATGCCGCAGTGCAGGCCGCATGCATACAGCTGAAGCTCAGAGTTCCCACAATCGAAGTCCTAAGTCGCCAGGACTACAATGTGAAGGATCTCACAAAGATCTACAAGGGCCCGGAGGTTCTCATGAATTCGCCGGGACTCGGCCGGGCCCTTGAGCATGCCAGAGGGAACTTCATTCCTTGGCATGTCAGTGAAGATCTATTCCAAGACGGGGTTGGATACCCGCGGCCGCCTCGACAGATAGTGCGCT